CGGAAATCTTTTCATTTTCTTTTAGTATTCGCAAGTTTGAAAAATATTTAAAACTGGATCGTGCCAGTGAAGATTTAAATAGCTCCATTTTTACTTGAAAGGCCATAATGATTGTTCAAGCTTGAATAATTGTAACATTTTTTCCTTGCAAACACTTCTGTACTATCGATATATTTTATATGTATCTTCGATATATTACAATATTTTCTCTGTAAAGGACAAAATATCTACATTTAGATATAAAATACTTAAGAGTGACAACCCTACTAGAGTGTAACAGTGCAACATATGTCTGTGTATGAAGAACTACCAGAATTCATAACATGTTTGTAACACTAGTACAGTTGCCAGATGCGTGAAAACAGAGTAACACATGCTTAAAGCAGAGTAGGCTAAGGCAAAACTCAACTTATAACTAGGGTAGTCAGTAATGTTGTTGATCATATCTGTATTTCAAATTTTTATTGGAATATTCTATTTTTTTCCTAGACAGTTTAATTGATCCTCTTTGGTATTAATCGACCCCCTTTCGACCCTCGTGTATTAATCGACCCTGGAGAACTGTTATCGACCCCAAGGGGTCGATATCGACCACTTTGGGGACCCCTAAGTTAGATAGATGACCAGCATGACTCTATTGCTAACAGGAAAAGGGGCAAGACAATACTAATTTGAGATGGAGAACATATATTTTAAATCAAATAAATTAAAAATATGATTAAAAATTGCAGCTCAGCATTGTGACAATGTCATAATAAAATAATTGCTCGTATTTTGTTCTGGAATGACGATGAGTTTTACAGAATGTTGAGTTATCGAGAGTTGAGTTTCTGGAACTCTATAATCTACATTCAAATTACAATAGAGTTTATCATAATAATTATATTTGATTATACTTTTGTTGATGTCATCTTCACACTTCTAATGAAAACTAAATTTACAAATAATTGGTAAAAAATGTATTGCACAACTTTGTTGGAAGACTATAAAGCAGTTTATTATTGTATACATTTATTATTATTAGCATTTAAAAAAATTGTTAATTATTTAGATAAAACAATTATAAATATTTAAAAAAAAACATTTAAACAAGCAATATACATTTAAAATTTGCTAATTACACTGTTCAATAGAGACATGATTAACTAATCTTATGTAATTTTCAGATGAACAAAAAAAAAGACATTGAAAAATGAGAGAATGGTTCTTGTATGGAAGTTAAGGAAAAACTAAAGAACATAAAGTTTAATAACATTTTCTTTTATTAGAAATAAATGCACTTACATGCTTCAAACACAATGTCTTTTTGTTTGTCTTTTGTATTTCCTTCTGGGGCCTCTCTTCTGATCATCCAGCAGTAATCTGCCAATATTGCAAGGCACATTTATCTTTGTAATGCTTCTCAATGACTGATAGTCTGATGAAAATGCTCCCCGTGTTCATCACTGAGTACACTGTAGTTAATGGGAAAGACATCTAAATGGGAATAGAAGATATATAGTTTCAGGAACATTCTGCAGCCAATTTTCTCACAGGACATTAGAAGTTCATCCACAAGTTGATGAAAGCTTTCAGCTCTGACATTTCCTAACAAAGTAGCTGATACAATTTTGAAAGCATTCCAAGCATCTCTTTCACTGTCCTTCAACCAACTCTCAAATTCCTCATCCTCTTGAAGTTTTCTGATCTGGGAATCAATATTCCCTCCTTGATTTTCTCTGTGGTGATCCTCAAAAATTGCTGACACAAATAGGTAAATGCATCACCATTCCTATTGTGAGCCTTTACAAACTGTTTCATGAGTCCAAATTTAATATGTAGTGGTAGAATGCTGACTTTATCCAGATTGACAAGCAGCTGATATACCAGGCCAGAAGAATGTAGTGTAAGTGATAATTGATGAGGCCAATCCTTGTCATGATTTAATTTGTCACAACTATCCCATTCAGACAGAGCAACAAAATTTTCTGTATCCCTGCTGTAGTTCCATTAATATAGCAATAACTTTAAAATCCAATGCACATCACTCCTGATTCTTGTTCTGAAGTCTAAGGTTTCCATAACTGTATAGATTTCTTTAGTTTGGGTAACATATGCCAGTGGAACAGAAGGCAGCGTGTTGTTGTGTAAAAGCACCAACTTCAAACTGAATCTATAAACAAATGCCATTTATTGCAAGTGTACATGATGCCCAAAGCTGCTGTAACATCATTGACAATGTTACAGAAATTGAGATCACCTTCTTTAGAATAGAACTGCAAAAAACATTGTGTTGGCAGCAAAAGAAGTAACTTTTCACATTTTCTGCAAGGCAATTCCATTGTTTCAACCTGGAAGCCAAGCCATTAGTTCTGCAAATATAAACATTGATTAACAAATTTTTAAATTAATGTCAAACAATTGATAGATTATATCAGGCTATATTAATGCTACTATTATTAATTATTTACAAGTCAGCATTGTGAGTAACCAGTATGGTTATATTTAAATTAATAGTTCTGGAATTGAAGATCAGCTGGAACATAACTAGCAACGTGTCTGCAAGGCAAGCACAAGTTGTGGGTTCAAGCCCTGCTTCAGGTTTATTCTTTTCTTCTAGCTTTTTTTCTAGAACTTGATAAATTTAATAATTAATTTAAAAAGAAATAACACTTAACTCCTACCTCTAGGCCAAATTACTTGATATTTAATTATTAATATTAACAACAGCATTAATATAGTTTCATATAATCTGGCAACCATTTGGCATGAATAGTTCTGCTTTATTCTTGGGTAATTCCAGATCCCTGATAAGATTATTCAGTTCTTCCTGTGTTATTCTGTGTTGCATCTCAAAAATTCAACACAAATTCAGTCAAATAATGATGATCTGCCAATTCATTCATGTCTGGTTCATCTACATCACTCACTATTGTGTACTTGGAAGGTTCTGAAATGGGTATTTCCTCACTATGTAGTTTAGGCAGTATTGTAGAAGGCATATCAGGATAGCTAATGGTTATCTTCTTCTTAGTCATTCATACTTTGGCATGGTTAATGCAGAAGTAGAACCTGTAACACAATTGATTCTTTTCATACAATTGGAACTACAAATGGCATGGCAAGTTCCTTCCTATGTAGCCAGAAATACATATCCATTAAACAGAACTAAATTCAGTAATGCAGAATGCTAAGTAAGAAATGTAATTGGCTAGGAGGACAGAGCTAAGAAGTATTCTGAATATCCTCGAACAGTGTGCTGAGTTAGCAAGTTAAGACTTATTGTGTGCAGAAATGGTGAATGATAATCATCATAATTTTATCATAAAATAAATTATCATAATTACAATAATTTTATGACTATTATAAAAGTATATTTAGTCCAGCAGGAGCTTCCATCTTGCTAATCATATGACTAGTGTTACCACCCGTCCGGTTTTCACCCGGACAGTCCAGGAATCGACTCACTGTCCGGGTGAACATTCAATTTTGTCCAGGAATATAGTGCGCAACCTGTCAACCTTTTTTTTCCTTTTTTCTTTTTTTTTTGTTTTTGCTCGTACGATTTGTATTCGTACACATCTCCAATATCCAATAGAGCTAAGTCATCTGTAGTTGTTTTTTCTTAATTTAGTTACTTACGTTACTCCTACCCAAGTCTCCCTAGTCCCTAACTGTAATTGATTCAGAACCAGCATACACTGCACGTTATTCTTCGCATTGCAAAATGACATTGCGCATGCATCAGGAAATTCTGTTCAAACAAACCTCACCTGCTGTCCGGGTCAGCGATTTTGAAAAGGTGGCAACACTACATATGACAAAACAAAAACAATGGCATCACTAGTAGAAGGTTAGCATAGATAAAACAAGCTGACTTAAGTAGTCAGAAATCCAGCAGTGGCAGGAGTCAAGTAGTAGTTAGAAATATGTTCAGCATTACAGCATAACTAGACTTAGAAATAATTCTGCAATACTGATCACAGCTCAGGTATTTCAACAAAACTGTATTGTCCACAGTTTGTCTTAATGATTACTGTACAACCAAAGTATAAAAAGTAGGCTTTTTGCATGATTGTTGTCATACATCATTTACTGGAGGAAAATGTAACATTGTCATAAGTGTAACAGAACTAGTTTGCATTGTTCACACACTTATGCAGCATATTTCCAATACATTAAATGTAGAATAACACAAATGAAGGTTTTCTTAATACACAACACAAATACAAAGAAGTAAAAAATAACTCAGTAACTGAATCCTAGCATAATCCAACTTGCTTTTCAATCTGCTCATGCATCCTATCCCCTTCCAAAGCACAGACACAGCTCATCAGCAGCTGCCTCCACATTTACCCAGTCACACAGACTAGTCCAATTTCAAAAAAGTAGGAATGAAGTTGTAGTTCACGAATAAACACTTTATATTAAAACTTGCATGTCAGACATAATATCAACAAGAACAAAAAGTTCAGTGTCAATCATTATTAGGTTGTAATCCAAGATGTCAGGAGATTTATGAACTGTAATAGTATATGCAGACGTAAAATAATAAATAAATTATAACAAATATGGGAAAAGAAATAGTTTTCATTTTTCAGCCTTTTTCAACTTTTCCCCTAACTTCCAAACAAAAACCAATCCTACATTTTCAATGTCGTTTTCATGTTTAGCACCATAAAATCATGTAAAATTACTTATGTCTCAAATTACAAATAACATGCTTTTTGTAGCAGTATTAGTAAACTACTTTCCAGGCTTATATTAAAATTAGTGGAATCCCATTTATACAGCTCAAAAAGAACCAGGCCTGAATCAGATAATTTGGAAAATTTGTTAATGACATAAATAACACAATTTATATACATTTTATTTTATATTTCTAATTTCTTCTCCATCATAACAACCACTTTCTTTTAGATGCCATTTTCATGTGTTTACTTCACAAAAGAGTGAAAGTGACTGAAACTCAGCAAAACAATAGTAGCTGTAAGTGTTGAGTAAATAAAAACTTGCAAGATTATCATATCACTCTGAGTATTGACCCTTCTCCACCAAATGGTACTAGAGTACAAAGAGAATGTATCTTAATCATAGCTAGTTGGGCACTCAGTAGTCACTGAGTTGTATGCTCAGGCTTTGGAAGTACAGTTGACCCCCCTATAACACGGGAGATACGTTCCAGNTAAAATATAATTGGGGTTCCATAATACCACCTTCTCCTCTATTATAAAATGTCACTAACAAAAAAAGCAACATTTAGTTGAAATAGTGACCAGTTTCAACCCTGCAATTATTGTAAATTGCGAGTATTGCTGAAATGTAGATGGATTCTACATACCATTTACTTTGAATGTTGTAAACAGACCTCCTATACAACCTCATTTCCAAAGAAAACTGACTGCTAGCTACAGTTGCCAACTGCTTTTCAGTGAATCTCACAAGATGACACTTAAAAATAAGCTATTTATGATTGGAAATGCTAGATTTTTTTCATAAAACAATTAAAAGCCACATAATTCAAATTTTGTACTTTCTTAAAACACATGTAAGCTTAGATCATTGTGAGTATCATGAAACACAACATGTGGACATTCAAATTGCTTGTTGTTTCCTTTACCATTATATAATGCATTATACACTCTACAATAATAATTTTGTTTTTCCTTTTCTAGGTTTAATACCAAATTCCCTGAAATTTCCAAGACTTCCTTGATCTGATAAATTCCGACATTTCCAGGTCCATTGACACCCTGAAAATCCTTAACTGTAAAGAAACAATATTCCTCACAATTACAATCACAAAATCCTTACAATAATTTAAATCCAAATTTTCTTATAAAAGTTGAATGAAGTGTGTTTGTAAGAAAGGCACACATCAAATGCTTCAGACAAAAATTTCAGGCATAAAAAAAAAAATGCTTATGAATTTCAGTACCTGCATTTGACAAGAAATTATCATATTTTTTAACCTTCCTATTGAGATAATTTTATCAAACAAAATTCACATTTATAACTCAAAAATTCATAACTGGAAAATTTAGTCAGTAAATAATAAATTTACTGTTTATTCTTTTTGCCTTTGAGAACACACGATAAATTTTTTTCTTATTATGTCATGAATTAATCCTAAATTCTTTTATCTAAAATTTCTATATGTATCAAGATCTCTTATTTCTTTGTATGATCTTAAAAATGTATTTTATTTCTATCAATAATTCAATTAACAATTTTTTATTGACTTAAAACATAAAACAGCATGATTATTATTAGTTGTTCCTAAAACACAAAATTTCTATTTATAATTGAATAAAATATCCAACCAGAGGTCAGCAATATCTGTGAAGTTCACAACAGACATGTATCATTCTGTGATACAGGTGTGTTTACAAGAGAGAAAATGATTGTACTTTTTAATTTTATAAAAAAATAAAGCTAGTTGGGCTGCAATTTGAAAAAATTGCAGACAAATTCCCACTGTCGTCTGTCTGTCTACTGCCTCTACCCTTTCTTAATCTCGAGAACAGAGTTACATAGATGAAAACTGAGATCAGATATGGAAGCTTAGAGGTAAGAGGTCCTGATTAATTATGAACTTCCAGTTTGACCTGAAGTCATGTTATTTCAATTCAAAAATTTCCCCCTGAAAAAAGTTAGATTAGGGTCCCCAAACTTTTTATCCCGTCGACCCCTTTATAGAATATTTGCCTTCTTATCGACCCCCAGATTAAGTATTTAACAAAAACATTAAATCACTTTTGCATTTCTAATGTTAAGCGATAAGGAGACCTGCATAACAACCCAACAAAAGAATTTATAGTTCCCATATCTTATAAAATCCACCCAATAACATTAACAGAAAAAGGAGATATTTTCCACTGATTTATAATCTTAAAAAATAATAGCAAAATTATGGATAGATGGAAATTTTCCTATAGTTCTTAAACCGTACATGTCATAATACATAAAATACATGCTTATCTTTGAAAACATAACAGAAGTTATATTGGATGAAAAAACCTCTTACTGTCATTTTGCAACTACTACTGAATGCCTTAAAAATATGTTGGCATGCCTTTTTATTAAAATAGTTGATATTAGTGGGATGGATGTGTCTGAAGAGAAGCAGCAAGATTATTGATATACGGTTGAAAATTGGTAAGTTTTAGTCGCAAATCACCACAGTTTTCCAAGTTCAATCTGTTCCTCTGTTTTGTCAAAATTGCATTTGCGTGGCTAAGCCAGCTTCTACCATGTATGAAGTTGGGAATGCAAGTAAGAAAGGTTCAGCTTCTGCTCTGAGCTTGGAATATTTAGGACAATATTGTTATTGCACCAAAATTCACTGAGGTTTTTATTTTTAAACAATGCTTTAGCTTCGAAATCTACATATATTTCACTCAGTTCATCTTCTAAGCCAGGTTTACTACCTTCATTATCTATTTTTACATCAAATGCATTAGCAAACCATTCAGGAACATGCATATTCTCCAAGTCTTTGAAACATGCTTTAAAGTCTTCTCTTAATTTATCACAATGTGTAATATATATCTCCAAATCACGGACGGAAATCTTTTCATTTTCTTTTAGTATTCGCAAGTTTGAAAAATATTTAAAACTGGATCGTGCCAGTGAAGATTTAAATAGCTCCATTTTTACTTGAAAGGCCATAATGATTGTTCAAGCTTGAATAATTGTAACATTTTTTCCTTGCAAACACTTCTGTACTATCGATATATTTTATATGTATCTTCGATATATTACAATATTTTCTCTGTAAAGGACAAAATATCTACATTTAGATATAAAATACTTAAGAGTGACAACCCTACTAGAGTGTAACAGTGCAACATATGTCTGTGTATGAAGAACTACCAGAATTCATAACATGTTTGTAACACTAGTACAGTTGCCAGATGCGTGAAAACAGAGTAACACATGCTTAAAGCAGCGTAGGCTAAGGCAAAACTCAACTTATAACTAGGGTAGTCAGTAATGTTGTTGATCATATCTGTATTTCAAATTTTTATTGGAATATTCTATTTTTTTCCTAGACAGTTTAATTGATCCTCTTTGGTATTAATCGACCCCCTTTCGACCCTCGTGTATTAATCGACCCTGGAGAACTGTTATCGACCCCAAGGGGTCGATATCGACCACTTTGGGGACCCCTAAGTTAGATAGATGACCAGCATGACTCTATTGCTAACAGGAAAAGGGGCAAGACAATACTAATTTGAGATGGAGAACATATATTTTAAATCAAATAAATTAAAAATATGATTAAAAATTGCAGCTCAGCATTGTGACAATGTCATAATAAAATAATTGCTCGTATTTTGTTCTGGAATGACGATGAGTTTTACAGAATGTTGAGTTATCGAGAGTTGAGTTTCTGGAACTCTATAATCTACATTCAAATTACAATAGAGTTTATCATAATAATTATATTTGATTATACTTTTGTTGATGTCATCTTCACACTTCTAATGAAAACTAAATTTACAAATAATTGGTAAAAAATGTATTGCACAACTTTGTTGGAAGACTATAAAGCAGTTTATTATTGTATACATTTATTATTATTAGCATTTAAAAAAATTGTTAATTATTTAGATAAAACAATTATAAATATTTAAAAAAAAACATTTAAACAAGCAATATACATTTAAAATTTGCTAATTACACTGTTCAATAGAGACATGATTAACTAATCTTATGTAATTTTCAGATGAACAAAAAAAAAGACATTGAAAAATGAGAGAATGGTTCTTGTATGGAAGTTAAGGAAAAACTAAAGAACATAAAGTTTAATAACATTTTCTTTTATTAGAAATAAATGCACTTACATGCTTCAAACACAATGTCTTTTTGTTTGTCTTTTGTATTTCCTTCTGGGGCCTCTCTTCTGATCATCCAGCAGTAATCTGCCAATATTGCAAGGCACATTTATCTTTGTAATGCTTCTCAATGACTGATAGTCTGATGAAAATGCTCCCTGTGTTCATCACTGAGTACACTGTAGTTAATGGGAAAGACATCTAAATGGGAATAGAAGATATATAGTTTCAGGAACATTCTGCAGCCAATTTTCTCACAGGACATTAGAAGTTCATCCACAAGTTGATGAAAGCTTTCAGCTCTGACATTTCCTAACAAAGTAGCTGATACAATTTTGAAAGCATTCCAAGCATCTCTTTCACTGTCCTTCAACCAACTCTCAAATTCCTCATCCTCTTGAAGTTTTCTGATCTGGGAATCAATATTCCCTCCTTGATTTTCTCTGTGGTGATCCTCAAAAATTGCTGACACAAATAGGTAAATGCATCACCATTCCTATTGTGAGCCTTTACAAACTGTTTCATGAGTCCAAATTTAATATGTAGTGGTAGAATGCTGACTTTATCCAGATTGACAAGCAGCTGATATACCAGGCCAGAAGAATGTAGTGTAAGTGATAATTGATGAGGCCAATCCTTGTCATGATTTAATTTGTCACAACTATCCCATTCAGACAGAGCAACAAAATTTTCTGTATCCCTGCTGTAGTTCCATTAATATAGCAATAACTTTAAAATCCAATGCACATCACTCCTGATTCTTGTTCTGAAGTCTAAGGTTTCCATAACTGTATAGATTTCTTTAGTTTGGGTAACATATGCCAGTGGAACAGAAGGCAGCGTGTTGTTGTGTAAAAGCACCAACTTCAAACTGAATCTATAAACAAATGCCATTTATTGCAAGTGTACATGATGCCCAAAGCTGCTGTAACATCATTGACAATGTTACAGAAATTGAGATCACCTTCTTTAGAATAGAACTGCAAAAAACATTGTGTTGGCAGCAAAAGAAGTAACTTTTCACATTTTCTGCAAGGCAATTCCATTGTTTCAACCTGGAAGCCAAGCCATTAGTTCTGCAAATATAAACATTGATTAACAAATTTTTAAATTAATGTCAAACAATTGATAGATTATATCAGGCTATATTAATGCTACTATTATTAATTATTTACAAGTCAGCATTGTGAGTAACCAGTATGGTTATATTTAAATTAATAGTTCTGGAATTGAAGATCAGCTGGAACATAACTAGCAACGTGTCTGCAAGGCAAGCACAAGTTGTGGGTTCAAGCCCTGCTTCAGGTTTATTCTTTTCTTCTAGCTTTTTTTCTAGAACTTGATAAATTTAATAATTAATTTAAAAAGAAATAACACTTAACTCCTACCTCTAGGCCAAATTACTTGATATTTAATTATTAATATTAACAACAGCATTAATATAGTTTCATATAATCTGGCAACCATTTGGCATGAATAGTTCTGCTTTATTCTTGGGTAATTCCAGATCCCTGATAAGATTATTCAGTTCTTCCTGTGTTATTCTGTGTTGCATCTCAAAAATTCAACACAAATTCGGTCAAATAATGATGATCTGCCAATTCATTCATGTCTGGTTCATCTACATCACTCACTATTGTGTACTTGGAAGGTTCTGAAATGGGTATTTCCTCACTATGTAGTTTAGGCAGTATTGTAGAAGGCATATCAGGATAGCTAATGGTTATCTTCTTCTTAGTCATTCATACTTTGGCATGGTTAATGCAGAAGTAGAACCTGTAACACAATTGATTCTTTTCATACAATTGGAACTACAAATGGCATGGCAAGTTCCTTCCTATGTAGCCAGAAATACATATCCATTAAACAGAACTAAATTCAGTAATGCAGAATGCTAAGTAAGAAATGTAATTGGCTAGGAGGACAGAGCTAAGAAGTATTCTGAATATCCTCGAACAGTGTGCTGAGTTAGCAAGTTAAGACTTATTGTGTGCAGAAATGGTGAATGATAATCATCATAATTTTATCATAAAATAAATTATCATAATTACAATAATTTTATGACTATTATAAAAGTATATTTAGTCCAGCAGGAGCTTCCATCTTGCTAATCATATGACTAGTGTTACCACCCGTCCGGTTTTCACCCGGACAGTCCAGGAATCGACTCACTGTCCGGGTGAACATTCAATTTTGTCCAGGAATATAGTGCGCAACCTGTCAACCTTTTTTTTTCTTTTTTCTTTTTTTTTTGTTTTTGCTCGTACGATTTGTATTCGTACACATCTCCAATATCCAATAGAGCTAAGTCATCTGTAGTTGTTTTTTCTTAATTTAGTTACTTACGTTACTCCTACCCAAGTCTCCCTAGTCCCTAACTGTAATTGATTCAGAACCAGCATACACTGCACGTTATTCTTCGCATTGCAAAATGACATTGCGCATGCATCAGGAAATTCTGTTCAAACAAACCTCACCTGCTGTCCGGGTCAGCGATTTTGAAAAGGTGGCAACACTACATATGACAAAACAAAAACAATGGCATCACTAGTAGAAGGTTAGCATAGATAAAACAAGCTGACTTAAGTAGTCAGAAATCCAGCAGTGGCAGGAGTCAAGTAGTAGTTAGAAATATGTTCAGCATTACAGCATAACTAGACTTAGAAATAATTCTGCAATACTGATCACAGCTCAGGTATTTCAACAAAACTGTATTGTCCACAGTTTGTCTTAATGATTACTGTACAACCAAAGTATAAAAAGTAGGCTTTTTGCATGATTGTTGTCATACATCATTTACTGGAGGAAAATGTAACATTGTCATAAGTGTAACAGAACTAGTTTGCATTGTTCACACACTTATGCAGCATATTTCCAATACATTAAATGTAGAATAACACAAATGAAGGTTTTCTTAATACACAACACAAATACAAAGAAGTAAAAAATAACTCAGTAACTGAATCCTAGCATAATCCAACTTGCTTTTCAATCTGCTCATGCATCCTATCCCCTTCCAAAGCACAGACACAGCTCATCAGCAGCTGCCTCCACATTTACCCAGTCACACAGACTAGTCCAATTTCAAAAAAGTAGGAATGAAGTTATAGTTCACGAATAAACACTTTATATTAAAACTTGCATGTCAGACATAATATCAACAAGAACAAAAAGTTCAGTGTCAATCATTATTAGGTTGTAATCCAAGATGTCAGGAGATTTATGAACTGTAATAGTATATGCAGACGTAAAATAATAAATAAATTATAACAAATATGGGAAAAGAAATAGTTTTCATTTTTCAGCCTTTTTCAACTTTTCCCCTAACTTCCAAACAAAAACCAATCCTACATTTTCAATGTCGTTTTCATGTTTAGCACCATAAAATCATGTAAAATTACTTATGTCTCAAATTACAAATAACATGCTTTTTGTAGCAGTATTAGTAAACTACTTTCCAGGCTTATATTAAAATTAGTGGAATCCCATTTATACAGCTCAAAAAGAACCAGGCCTGAATCAGATAATTTGGAAAATTTGTTAATGACATAAATAACACAATTTATATACATTTTATTTTATATTTCTAATTTCTTCTCCATCATAACAACCACTTTCTTTTAGATGCCATTTTCATGTGTTTACTTCACAAAAGAGTGAAAGTGACTGAAACTCAGCAAAACAATAGTAGCTGTAAGTGTTGAGTAAATAAAAACTTGCAAGATTATCATATCACTCTGAGTATTGACCCTTCTCCACCAAATGGTACTAGAGTACAAAGAGAATGTATCTTAATCATAGCTAGTTGGGCACTCAGTAGTCACTGAGTTGTATGCTCAGGCTTTGGAAGTACAGTTGACCCCCCTATAACACGGGAGATACGTTCCAGTTTTTATGAATCCATTTTCTACGAGTCCAGCCAATCACAGCCCGGCACATATGCAGTTTACAGACTACGGCTGTTTGAAAGGTTTCTTCCATAAAATTAATCGATTCTAGACTAATTCAACTCATCATTTCCAAAATACGTATAATTTTTTGGGAATAATCCATATAAACTCTGCTATAAACAAAAAATTGTAGGATTACTTACAGAGTGTGCACCATTCGACTACGCCATTGCTTAAGCTTGTTTTCGTCGTGGAGCTTGTCATCGAATGGCGTTTACATGCTTCCTGATAAATTATTTTTTGGTGAAAAATTTTGGAGACATCATTAATATAAATATAATTTTTATGGACGTTAAATAATAAATGGTTTTTAGTAGGTCCACTGCTCATTTAAACTCAACGGTTTGTACAATATCCAATGTTCAATAATACAATAATACAATGTTCCAATCAATATGATTAGCCCTTCTACAGAAGTCATCCATTAGAGGACACTTAAGTACATAGTGCCTCACATCACCACATGAACACCCACAGCAGCAGCAACTATCTCCTTGTCCAAATTTGGACTTGAAATGGGAAACTTCCTGTGTCCCACAAGGACTTGGATCAGTGTCCAATTACAATTGATCGGAGTTCGACCAACTTCAGGCACGAAGGCATAGATTGACCTACCTACCATACTGAGGTTCCAACACTCTTGCCAGTATGTCATGGATCGTTGCAGTAAAATATCTTATGTAACTTGCCAGAGGTTCTATCTTCTCTGTTACAAATAAGCCCTTGGTCACTGCCTTGGCCAAGTGATCGATATGCTTGTTGCCCAGGATCCCAATGTGGCTTCAGACCCACCTTAGGTCAAATTGTTGTGCATGCCTCACCCTCAGTACCCTACCTCTGATCTCCAGTACCAATCGGTCACTCAAGGCCTGAAGCGATGACTGACTGTCAGAATATATCTTGACCAGCTTGGGACCTGGATGGTGTAGGATCCACTGGGATGCTCCTGTAAGAGCTATAAGTTTGGCCTGAAACGCAGATTCAGTCTGACTGACGAACTGTATGCTAGAACTCCGTCATTATAGACACAGTACACAGCACATACTTGGCTGTCATCTTTTGAACCATTGATGTAGATCTAAACACCGCTTAGTGTCAGTTCACCAACATCCTAGTCAATTCCAACCCTTTGGCTTGGGTGGATGCCACATATGTCTGATTGACATGAGCTTTTTGGCTGGGAACATCTGATTACAGTGTTTTGCTTCTTTTCCTTCAATTGTTGTTCTGTAGAAGGTTGTCTCCTAGCTGATCACCAGGGGCAAAAGTAGCAGTCCAGCCAAAACCAGAGCTACATCTGTGGACACAGTTCTGTACATTCTAGTGACCCATAGGGTGGCAGGCCTCTAAATACTTAGCAGCATCCTGCTCTGCTTTGTGTTGGTGGAGTCTTTCACCAAATACCACAGGCATAGCAGATCATGCACTCCATAGCCATTTTGTAGATGGTATAGATTGCTTCACTGCTTAAGCCATAGTAGTCCTGTCTAGCCAGTCTCAATAGTGCCACTATCACAAGGTTTGTTCTGTCTCAAACATTCCTCAGACTTGCAAGGTTATGAACAAAAAAAAACTTAAAGATAAATGGGGTTCCACTATATTAGTTTAGAGTTCTCTGAGTATGCTGACTAGGTTAATAATAAAAGCAAACTAGTTGCATTGCTCTGGCTTTTGAGGGGTGGGGATTGCTGAAATTGAGTTGGGAAAGAAAGATAAAAACACAGTTTTAGAAACTAAAATGTACATTTATTGACCTCAGTATTTACAATAAAACTGCAAAACCTAAAAAGTTGCTCAAGCTAAAGTTAACAGGAAATGAGATCATAACTTGTTTGTGTCATGGACTTAACATTGTACTTTTTCCACTTCACCACGCCTGAACCATTGTACCTTTCTCAAATTGCTCTTCAGTGGTATCATCTACAAAATAAGGATCTACAGGATCTTTAATTTGATACTGTCCACCAGCAGCCAAATGAATAAAACTACTGAACACTAATAGTTGTTTGTGGGTTTTAAACTTCACCAATGGGCTGCCCATGAGAAGTTTTCTGGGTTTTCTTCACATTTGTAAAACTTAAATAGAGGAGAGTTTCCTTAAAAAGTCCTTCCAAGAGGCATCACTTCAGTAGATCGCCCATGTGTCATAAACAAATAAACCAAACTAATTTGAAACCTAAACTGTATTTTTAGCCCCCAGCCATTTACTCAAACTAAGTCAAAAAACTAAAACACTCTTTCAATTAATATACAGATTATAATGCTAATATTTGTGTCTTTTTTTAAAAAACATTTTAAAACATTCCAAAAATATCTTAAAAATTACATTAATTGCTAACGTTTTTGGCTGTATTTAACCTACCTTCTTCAGAATAAACTTACAAAATAATGATGGTTATGTTTGAATACAAAATTTAAAACTTTCCAAAATATACAATTTAAATGTTAATATTGAACCTTATAAGTTACAAAAATACAATATATTAACTCAAAAAAATACAAATAACTAAACAAAAATATAAATATATGCGCAATATAAAATATACAGGAATAATACAATACTAATAATCCGTAACAAATAAATAAAAACAATAATAATAAAATAGTAAAAAACATTAAAAATTTAAATACTTTTGGAGTGTTTTACTATTCTGCACTGTATTTCTCAATAGTTAAAACATTTTGTTAATTATAATAAAAAATAACAGCATCAAGTGAGGAATTCTAAAGAATAAAATATCTATGTTAAACTTTGATGTTTTCAGATTTGTTATGAAGTGAGTAATGCTTAAATGTTAAATATGCTTGAGTAAAGGGAATATCCATAACTACAAAAGCCTATTTGATGTCCATAATAAAACACTTAACTGCAAAAAGGTATCTAAGTATGCATAGATACCTTATTCCAATAGAACTCCCCAGTTATGATCATTTTATTATATTTTTAATTTTTTTAGTTTTAAATGATCACTAAAGTAAATTGTATACATCATTTTAATAATTATAAAAATAGCAAATATTTTTTAGTATGAAAATATTGATCTATTTCACTTGTTAGATTTGTTAACTAAGAAAAGTGATATATTGGCTAGACAAGTCTCCTTTTCTATCAATATACAAAACCTACATTTAAATCTAGTTTTTCAAAATTAGTAATTTGTTAGTTTCACTTAATTACAAATTTTATAAAAATTAATATCTAAATTATTTTCTAAACATGATTTGTAAATAAAAAGGTTTTATGTTATTTCAAAAAGTATTTCAAATTTTTGTGATGTTTAAGACATTCATTTTGTAAGATAACACAGTTTATCTTAAAAAATCAAGCTATAATTATCTTTCATCATTGCACTTATTCTTTTTTTATTAATACTATACAAACTGCATTTCATACTAATTTATTTAGACATAACCATATCAGTCATTCATGGCACCAATTGGGACAACTTAGGACTCAGTGCCCACATTCCTCCATGGCTCTCAGCCAGCTTATACTTTAATCCAAACATGGCATGTTTGGATTAACCATGCCACTTACCATGCCCTATATATTTATAATAAATATAATAAACCCAATAATTATTTCAAATATCAAACAAACAGCTGAATTATTTAATCAGGCTAAATAATTACTAAATAATTTGGCACAAAGTAGGCAGGTTAGGCTGCCATCTCTTATTAAATTTAATAATTATAAATAAATAAATATTTAAAGTAATTATTGGGTTAGTTATACTTATTATTAATATACATTTACACATATATATATATATATATATATATATCTCATGATGGGATTAAGGTGTAAGCTGGCTAAGAGATGTGGGCACTAAGTTACTCCCAGTATTGAGTGACCGATAGAGTTATACCTAAATAATTCTTAATTAGCTTGTAAGCAAAGATCTGGTAGAGATCTGGGTAGCATAACTGGCAATGCATCTGCACAGTAAGGAGCTTGAGTCCTGCTCAAAGCTGATTTTTCCTTATGGGTTGCATTGATAACTTTTAATTTGTATGAAGAATATGTTCTTTATCATGCAACTCATTAGTCATCATATGATAAACAAAATCTTTCAGTGCAAATGAATTTTTTAAGCTTCACATTTACAGTCAACATAAAAATTATGGCACATCACAGATTACAATTAATACTATTGATTTTATCAATATTCATATATTATCCAATATTTAAAACAAGATTTACTTGTACAACTTTTATTACAAATTTTACTTTGGATGTCATTATTTCAGATTATGATTTATTTACAGTAATTTATAAGATATATTTATTCATTTCTTTCTATTTATTTAGATTATTTATCTGTATATAATTTATATAGCAAAAGATATCATTGTAATATCGTTTAATATACTGTGTCAATTATACAAACTATAATATACTTATATTGGAAAAAGTTCCAAGCAGACAAAAGTAAACCAAATGCATAACAAAACAAAATGAATAAAAATATTAAAATACTAAACCTATTAAAAAGTTTGAATTTAAAACTGAAAATATCTATTCTTAGATATCTTTAAACTATTATAAAATCTACTGTAACAGGCATTTATACAAAGAGCTTCTATTACTGAACAATTACATAACTAATAACCAATTATACAATATTAAAACACTCAAATTAATTGGATTTAATTGTTTGTCTTAATTTTATTCAATGCTAACATTTTTGGGCATTTTTAATTGCCATCTTCAGACTACACATAGAATAACAAAATCCTGATTGGAATGGAACACAAACTCAAGGTATATTTTATGTGTAACCTAAGACAGCCAAAAATGTTGACATTGAATAAGTTAAATTTGCTGGATTTAAAGGATTATCTAGAATGTATTGATTACATATGTTATTCTTAGACTTAGAATATCAAAATTATAATTAAAAAAAATAAATCTGAAATTTAGACATACATAAGCACTATCTTATTTATGTTTGTTAAAATTATTATAATTTATTATAGATATATATATAATCTAATCTAAAATATTTTATAATATTTATATGAAATATTATAGAATATTTTTAGGACCTAAAGAAAAGCATTATTATTTACATATAAAAACTTTCAAAACTAAACTACTGATTTCATACTTTCAACCATTTGTGTGGACATTTTTGTTGAATAAGAAAACAGCACAGATATATTTACAGTATACAATATTATAGATAATATATTCATTATAGATTAATATAATGATATACAGATAATTAATTTTTACTGTATATAATTTATATAGCAAAAAAATAAAAATATTGCTTTACAGTAAAGTCTAATGTATACTGTATATAAATGTATAAATATTTTCTCATATAAAGAGATAAGAGGATATTTATTAATTCTTACAATACAGCATAAGGTATGAATTATAAATAAAAAATTTTAAAAATAATGAATTATTATGAGTTGGATTGATTTATGACTCATCTATATATATAGTATATACAGGTAAAATTTAAATTGAATCAAGATTATAGTTTCAAATCAAGTTTACAACAGCTTAAGACTGAAAATATAGGCTATTTAATATATTAAAAAAAAACTAATTGTAATTTTGTTTAATTTTTGTATATTAATACATTAAGTGAATTTACAAAATAATGATTGTCAATAATAATTAATATACCTATATATATGAAAAAATACTTTATGATGTACTTTAACTCTTAATTCATACAGTTTCTACAATTACAATGTTATAAATTTAGCTTATATTAATCTTTAAAAAGTCCTTATTTCAAATACTTCAATATATTAATTTTTAAATGATCTGACATTAAATTTATTATAAGACCTAAAAACATTTCTAAAAGCACTATTATGGTAATTATATATAATCTATAAACCATTTTTATGACTTTCTTCTATCATCTATTAAAAAGTACAATATGTTCAATTTAGCATCATTTTAAAAGATGAATACATAATCAATATAAATTTGTTATTCATTCCTTAAAAATATTTTTTTGATTTTTTTTTTCAATAGAAGAAAATAAATTTAAACAACTTTAAAATATCAATTTATTACATTTAAAAGATTTTCAGAACTTTGTTATTCATTATTATTTTATCATAAATAATTTAATAAAGATCACAATATATTAATTTAAGAAAAAACATCTTTCATTTATTAGGATCATACTTCAAAAATCTTAAATGATTAAAAACCTATCTGATTGTGTGTGTTTGTTTATTTGTTTGTGTATGTGTGTATTATACAATATTGTTAATATTATCACATATTTTTCACTAATATTAAAATTTTGAAATATTTTAACTTGTTTTAACTTCATAAAAGAAAAAAAAAGACTTAACAAAACTATGACATGAATTTTCAAGAGTAATTCATTTTAATGTATGAATTTGGAAAAAATACATTTTATCTGTATTTGCATATCAAATTGAAGTTTAAAACAGTATAAGCATATTTTAATCTATTAAATAAATAAATCATAAAATCAGTATTAGAATTTTCAAATCTATCAACATCAATTAGTTATAGTGTTAATCATTCCCAAAATTCCAAATAAAAACAAATCTTTGAAAACCAATTTAAAGTACTTTTCCATAAGCTTTAATTCTAAACACAAAATCTGATTTATAATTAATGTTTCATTTTTTTTCTTTTTTTAATTAAATCTCATGTAAGTACTTCAAATTAAACTAAAGTTAAAATGACCAAGAAAAAGACTTAACAAAAGATATTACGTTATATTATTACAGTAGATCAAATTATTTTTCAGAAAAAATAATTATAGCTTATTGAATTTAGAAAAAATTTTTTCCATCTTTGACAATTGATACTTCATTATTCTAAAATTTCATATACATAACTATTACATACTAAACTCTAATATAAAAATGAAATGAATAAAAATTATTAAAACACCAATTTACTGATTCATAGAAACTATCATTTAAGACTATTTAATCTGATAATATAGTGGATAATATAGTGGAAAATATAAATTCTTTAGCTAATCAGAATATTTTTTTTATTAATTTTAGGATCATAGCTACATGATTCTATTCAATACTACTACCTAATCCTCAACAGAACTTATTTATTTAGCACATTAAATATAGTGTCCAAATATGTAATAGTAATACTGTATATAAACTTGTCTTGTTTAAAATAGCTTGTTTGCCCATCTGTATTAAAAGATTCAAGATATTATAATTAAAGTTATTGAAATTGCAAAAATCTGCAACAAGTAAACAATATTTCAATACAGATCTTTAGTTGAATGATGATTCTTAAAAAAAAACAGTTTTGAAATTTTAACAAATATTTATTTTTTATATTGAAAAATGTTAATTTAATTTGGTATTAGAAAAGTATTTACGATAAGCAAAAATAAATTAACTATAAAATATTCTGAATGTTACAGATAAGATATTGAAAAGTATCATCATCTTAACACATTAATTTCATTAAAAATATTGTGATCAAATTTGATAATTAATAATTGATCGAAAAGTAGATAAGATAATAAATGAAGTTATAATCAAATTATGAAATAAATTTAAATATAAGCTATAAATTAATAAAGATAGAACTATGATTTAATAATTTTTTACTTTATATAATAATTTCATCACACAGATTTTTTAATTTTTTACTATGTAAACAAACTTTTATATCAAAATGTTAACTACAATAGAAATAAATCTGTAAACAAATTATTTAGATAAATTTAATACCTATGTATTTTGAAACAAAGAAATCATGTATTTTATGTAAACAAAACATTTAATCAATCTTTAAATTATATAATGTATAAATATTGTGTTATGATTTTTGAAACAGAATATATGATAGGTCTCTATGTAAAAGTACATTTTACTACAAAGGATCATCAGATTTATATAAAAGAGATTGCACTTTTCTATATGAAATTAATGAATGAATTAAGGAATATGAAAGATATCAACGATTAAGATATTTTAAAGAAAAAATCCTATATGAGAAATCGAATTTAAGCATAGAGAAGGTAAAGAGAGCGCATCAAACCTTAGCATAATAATTCGCATTTCGACCGTTCGGATTTTCCCCCTCTACAAAGTGCACGCTATCGATTTCCTCATCTCTTTTAACAGAACTGCATTAGGACTAAATCTACAGTGGAATTTTTACTATGATAGGTGCATTAAATTTATTTTGGTTGTTTTTTACCTTTTGAGAATAGCATCTTTGGTAGCAATGTCCTTCTTGCCTCCAAGTTGGGGGAGACTCCACAACCTTTCGGAGGATGCCCTCCTTTTGCAACTTATACAATACGCTATTCACTAATTTTTTGGGCTGTCTCATCGCACGGCATAAATCAATGGTCCGAATATCTTGATTAGGGTGACTGCCAAAATATTCGACCACTTGATGTTTCAGTCCATCGGTCATAGTAGCCATCTTTAGGGGGAGGGGAGCAAAGTCTCTTTCCTCTCCTCGTCTGCTCAAAAGATGACCAGCGCCACCAATGTTCACAGATCTTCACCCAATTTCCCTCCACCAGCTTGCAATTTCCTGTCAATGCTAGTAATTTCCCTAAAAATTTTAAATCACTTTTAAATAAAATATTAAAAATAATAATAGGTATTATTAATTATGAAATTTTCTTAAATATAAAAATATAAATTTAAATTTAACTTAAATAATACATATATATTTTTAAATAATTTTTTAAAACGTAATAACTGGAGAGTTTATTAATAATTATAAAATATAAATTAAGAAGAATTACTATTTATTTTGGTTAAAAGTTTTAAAATTATTATTACTTAATTGACAGTTGTGTTCAGAAAACGTTAAAATTTCCCCGAAACGAGGGAAATATCCTCGATATATGAACATCGAATAAAACCTCTACTGTGTGACGTAATCAAGGTACGTCACTATGCGCACTTTTCCGAACATAAGCAGACGATCTCGGTGCAGTGTTTCCGATTTTTGTTGAAGTTTAATCGAAATCGATTATTTTTTATTATTATTATTAACTTTGAAAAAACACTGTGGCCATTAGGCCTTTTTCAATCGAAAACACAAGTATTTTCAATTATTAATGAAAATATTGAAAATAAACAAATATAACTATTCTCATGACATTTTATGATGCTTAGATATTGAAATTTACTTTAAATAATTGCCGAATTTGCAATGAATTTTGGTTTCTTTAAATCTTATACAAAACTAGTTTTTGTTTACTCAAATAACACGTTGACAAAATACTGTATATTTTATAAATTCCAGGATCTACTTCATAAAGATAAAAATTTTTTAAATTGCAAAATTTATTTTCTAATGAATCGTAAAAAGAAAATACAGAAATAATTTCTACGAAACTCTTAAATTAATGAGTTAACTATTTTAATGATATATAATCCTGAAAAAAAAAAACAACATGTTTTCTGAGAATTATANATGATGTTTATCAATGTAGTTAGCCTTGGGTGAGCACTTTGAGCAGCAATATGTCACAAATGAAAGATTATAAGTGATTTATTGTTGATAAAAAAAATATAATGAAAAGTACAGATAAAAAAGAAAAGTGTAATAAAAAAAGATTATTTTTTGGAAAATATAAGTTCATTTTCCAATATAATATATTGGAAAATAAACTGTCAGATAAGATATAATCAAAAAACACTTAATCTTTGATACTAATAACAAAGAGGTATTTTGAAATTTTTGAGTGCTGTTTTTTGGAATATAAAGCCAGACAGTTGCTTCATATTTTTGTAGAGTTTGGTAAATTTCAGTTAAACTATGAAAAAGTTATAACTCAGAAATTGATAGAATTGCCTATAACATTATTTGTAATACACAAAGATGGATGGACTTTAATCATTTATAGCATATAAAACTTGATGATGATTAGTTGAAAATATAGTTGGTAAAAACTGCCTTAACCAGAGCATTATAGTAGAAACATAATTCAGAAAAGATAAAAAAAATAAATGTTTGATATGTTATGTTGCATATTTATGTCTGGTTTTTCACATTAGACAATCAAACCACTGCATATGTGTTTGTGTATATATGTATATGTATATATACATATATACATATAAAAATGTAAAAATGTAAATGTAAAAATTATATATATATATATATATACATATAATTTTTACTATCTACTCTAGGCGCACAAAGAAGACCTTTTAATCGAGCCCATCGTGAACTCGGCCAGACCCACAATGGATCGGCCGAGTGGTGAGGGATTGGGTCCGATATATCAGAAATAGACCACCCCCACAAATTTCTTGGAGTTTTTCGTGATCTACATGGGACAGAGGAGACATATCGCCTCTAATATTTTTGTGCTAGCAAATTGTTTCCCTCCCAACATATTTTTATTTTATACCATACTACAGAAATTAAAAGTAAAAATCAATACTGCACACAACAAATACACCTTATTTTGTATGTGCACTGAAAACCTGACAATGCGAAATTTTTCTTACTCATTGTCGTTGGCTCGCCTCCCAGTTATACAAATCGACCAGTCCGGATTGACGGGCAGATGGCCGAATGGTAAGGTGTCAGCCTATCGCTCTGGGGATCCGGGATCGAATGTGATGGGTCGAAAAATCAGAAGAATTTTTCGGGGTAGTCCGTCCTGGATATATCGGATCCGTCCGCCATCATCCGGCCGCTTTATTGACGGCCTACCCGAACCCATAATGGGCTTGATAAAAAGACCTTAATGTCCACAGGGCGAAAAAAGTAGAAGAGAACGAAGGGAAAAAATCCATCCGGATTCATTCTCGGGTCCCTCAGAATAAAAGAAACTAAGCTGATGTCTTAACCGTCTTGGCCACCCGGCCGTCAAATCTAACATACAAAGAAGAAAGTTTGTTAGTTTGTTCTATAAACATTTCAACACGGTTTGAGCAAATGCGATGAAACTTTTCAGGAACCCTCCTCTCATCTAGAAGGAGGCCAACGACTATTTTCGGTCGAATTATAACTTCAACCCCGTCGTCAACAGCTCCTCTTTCTATCTGACCGTGGAATGGTGGCATTCGAATAGGAAAAATACTTAGCCTAATACAAAGTTACTAGCAAGCACAAAATGTGTTTTTAGGGTTTTAGAAAGTATCGAGTTTAAATACTTGTCCACTTTTTGCGAAATTTGATTGGTTGACCGATTACCATTTCATGTTCGGCTGTGAATGGTATCTATACGTTAGAAAAATTAGAAAAAATTTGGATGTCTTGAATTACCTTCTCATGCAGGCGAAGTCAACGACTATTTTCTGTTGAAAAACATCAATTTCAGTCTAACTGACCAATGAAATTCCGTCATTCTGTATCATCCGAGTATCGCGATAAACATGACAATGGCAGGCTAAAATAACCAAACTCTTAGTATATTGATAGTTTCATTTTAATGTTTATTGTTCTTACTTTTTACCCTAGCAGTGCTAGACATATCTGCTAGTTATATTGTAATTATTTTAATTTATACTATTTTTTTAAATAAGCAAACTTTATATTATCAGTTGGAATAAATCACATAATTTTTATATAATAATATTTTATATAATAAAAATGTAATAAAATTTAATACTTTAATGGTTAATTGTAATGTATAGTGTAATAATTAATTTTTTCAGTTTTTCTAAAACTATTAAAAATATTAGCAAATATCCTAATGATTTTCTTTTGTAAAATTAGTTTTTAATCTAAGTTTATCTAACTTTTACTATATTATAATTATTTTTAATTCTTAGTATTTTTTAAATAGGTGAAATTTATGATATAAGAAGCAATAAATTACATAGAAAAATATAGATCCAAATGATAAATGCTATTCAGTTTGTATTTATCACATTCATACCGATAATATTCATTTTGTTTCGTTAAATGTCTCTCGTTTCATATTGAATGGATTCCCAAAATCAATTTTTTAAATAAGCAGATACGCAGAAGTGGAAGGATAAAATGTCACAAGGCTTTCTAAGATCTGAAAGAATATATAAAATTTCTTTGAAAATTGCAATGATTTATATATTATTATTATATTCTGATATTAATTAAGCATTCCTGTTAAAAATTAATGTAATCAGGAAATAATTTGTTCTACGGAGAACTTAGTATTTAAAAAATGGAAATTCAGGCCTACTGACATTTTAAGACGTTTAGGAAGTAATAAATCTACACTAAGTTTGTTTGGTAGTCTACCTTTCTCCTCGTTTTCTGTAGATTTCTTTATTGCTTTGAGCACTATTTATTTTAAAATACTTCGGAGACCTTTGAAATAACTTTAATTCTAAGATAATAAGGAAAATTCGGAAGGATTTATGATACGAGTCTGTGGTTAAGCCTGTATTTCACATTGCTCTAAGTCTAGAAGAGATGAAAACTGATTTTTATTTCCTTTTTACTCCTAATGAGGAGACACTACCTTAAAAGTTTATAAATAGAAAAGTTTATAAATATGCAAAAATATATATTTTTTGTTATTTTATTTATATTTATTTTTATAATAGTCATGTTATATTTAATCTAATAACTTTCAAGTATGCTTTACAAAAATATGGAATATTTGAATATGCATGTTATATGTATGTGTATATATATATATCCTATATAATATAGCGAAAATATAGACTTTATAGTGTTCTACAAATAAATTTTGCACCGGAACTTATGGCATTCTTGCTCTGCCACTGCCATGAGGCTACAACTCATATCACGAGACAATAACCTAGCTACGCGGAAAATTACATATAGGGCTACATAAAGTTTATATTTTTATTAAGTTTATTAATAAAGCGAGCCCTGAGAGGCCGATCCACATGCATTACACTGTCTGCTGCTAGTTAGATTTTCCATCGGCTATATCTTAGGGCTTCACGCTTTTAAATTTATTACTTTACGGCAGAGGTAGAAGGGCTTCCAATAAGAAGCCCCTCTTTCTACCTCTGCCGTATAGTACAAAGCCATATAGGGCTTATGATCACAATAAGTCTAAACTTGACTTTGATAGCATTTATTTAAAAAAAACTAAAAGGATATACAATACATTAGATTAATTAGTAATATTAATAAGAAAATACTTTATAAACTTGCAAAACAATTAAACTAATACATCAGGAGATATATTTGATTCTTATTAAAATAATTAAAAAATAAAATTATTTATTACTTAAATAAATAAAAATATTGCTATCACTAGTAGTTTAACATTTTCTAAGACACAATATAAAAATAAAAATGTACTGATAAGATACTAAACTAAGTAACTAAATTATTTATTAAAAAGAATTTTTAGAAGAGAAAAATGAAAAAAATTGAAAACTCTTAGAGCAGTTTCCTCGATTTTTTATTTTTATTTATTTATTTTTTCCAACACGACTAATTTGAATATCATAAAACATAAGACGATTCGCCTGAAAAAAAAAAAAAAAAAAAAAAAAATAANGAATGGCATTTAAGAATAAAGGCCAGTCTACATGTAACTTTTTATTGTCAATCTTGCATGATCAATTAAGACTGATGCAAAACATATGGCCATGCTTTCACTTTATCTTTTCCACAGATATCATGGATAGAGAATTATTGTTAACAATTATTTCATTGTGTGTGCTAAAGTTGGAAAAAAAAAAAAAAAAAAAAAACATTTTGAAGACATAATGAGAAAACTCTCACGTAAATAAAAAGTTGTTGCGATTCGCATCATATTCTAAATAGATTTGAAAACAATTTATTGTTTTGTTAGTAACACAAAGCAATTAATGATAACAGAACATAAATTATGCATAACGAAAACAGCAAGTAAAATTATACATTAGAATAAACTTGTTAAAACCTTTATGATATAGGCTTATACAGTAGAATCCGCTTATTGTAATTATCGATATTGTTCTCAGTCGTTTAGCATTATCAGAATTAGCATGTCCCAAAACAAGTTAATAATAATATTTATTACTGTATATTAGCAAAATAATAGTTACAATGAATAAAACTTCAATATATATATATATTTATATATATTGAAGTTTATAAAATACATTATAAAATATAAATATAAATTTAAAATATATATATAATTGTTTGAACATGTCCTTTTAATATCAGAGTCGATAAAATCATAATTTGCACATTAACTATAGTCTTATTTATTTACCACGTTTAATGTTTACAGTCAGTTATTATTATCAGTAAAGACGAGTCTCAAAATGATTGCATTATGTGGATTCTATTGAATTTTGCTCAATTAATAAGTGGATAAGTATCAATTTAAATATAATAAAAATCTTGATATCCCTCAATTGATAAAGAATCAATTCTGGGTTTCAAATCAATTTTCATGTTAGATATAGCCTACTCGTATAATAGACAATTTCACAATATTCTGTTTCACTTTTGTGTGACATTGAGTAAATATCACACTTTTACGTTTACATATTAAATACATAAACATAAAAGTGTGCCACTTAGAATACGTAATTTCAGCAATATATACTTCCATGTTCAATAGCGTTAATTACTAATTTGTTATGAAAATACATTATGAAAAACATTATAATTATTTAATATGTATATTTTTGTTAATTAACGCTGAGTAATATTTTACAATTAATAATTTATAATACTGTATTATTTTAGAAAAATAATTATACTTTGTACATACAACATACACAATTTTTAGGACTGAAAAAGTTAAATGAAGGTTGGGTCATTAAAACTGTAGGATCACATTCCTCTCTAAAAATCATATCCTGGACCTACGCAACTGGAGTTTCGGGGATGCCGTCGACAAGGGGGATATTCTAATTAAGTTATTGATTTGAATTATGAAATGACAAAAAATGAAACAAATACTACGTTAATAAAGAAGGATTGAGAATTCCAACGGTCCAAATGTTAACGCTTGCGTTATATATTTAGACTGTTTGGATTATAGTGTTGCACAATCAAATGATGAGTATCTCGTCCGGGAAGAAATAAACTTGTACGGACTAATATATAAGAACGTCCATACCATCCAAACTCAATTCGAAGGAGTTTAGATGGTGATCAAAAAATAGGATTTCATGGTATATTCGCACTAAAGGTGCACAAAAATAGAACTCGCACTCAGACGCGAGATACCCTAGCGACGGTGTTGGTCATAACAATATTTGAATAAACACATCTTTTGTCACTTGTCAAAAGAAATTTTAACTTTCTAGTTATCCTAAATTTTACATAAAAGACTAAATTTGATGCCTCTGTATATCAGGACCCTGGCCAAGTGTCTTGCTGGAAACTCCTTTATCTGTGGCTTATATAAATATAAAAGCACACAATTTATAAATTTTGAAACTTGTATTTGTCCATCACAAAAGATTTTTTAAGTGATTCATTATTAAAGTAAGAGATTCGTTCAACCAGAAATAAATATTTCACCAAGAAGAATGTTTTTATTGTACTGTAGACCTTTGTTATATCACGCTTGTCGAGAGACAAAGCAAAAGCGAGATATATCCGGCTACGCGATGTAACCGAGTACTAAAAATTCTGGGCTTTTACTAAACAGATTATGCATATAAAATCTCTATCCTCTATTTTTTCATCCCAAGTGTTTCTGATATAAAATAAGCTTAGTTTTTCAATATTGAATTTTATTCGTGGTTATTAATTGACGTTTACGTAAACATCGATACTACGAACGCCCATTTAGCATTATTGTTTCTTTAATAAGGATATTTAAATACAAATACTGTTGATACAAAAACAAAATATCATTTGGAGATTTTATTGTACAGTACTATACTTCACAATAAATCTCTTATTAAAAATTCGTGTAATTTATATTTTTCAATAGAAATTATAAATACAGTAATTGAAAATTTAAAAATAAATATTGAACATATAATAGGACATCAAAACTTATAAAATTACAGAGTAAAAATTCTCTAAAAGCAAAATAAAGTTAGTACTGCATAAAAATTTTAGAACTTTCCTTTCAGAAATAAAGAAATTTTTTCTTATACATTACGCGGTGAATTCGAAATTTCACACCGTTATGTGAATTGACGGTATGGTGTCAATTCACATAACGGTGTGAAATTTCGAATTCATTGTTTGTTTGTTTTGTTAAGTTACGGCAACGCAACACTTGGGCGATCTGCATAGGAGTATGCTTTCCTAGGGGCATGTCTTTTTAAGGGTAACTGGCCCCTATTCAGGCGTTACAGACGGGGAGAAAACCCGGAAAACTCCACGTGGCCAGCCCCTTCCTAAAGAGGAGTGATCCTATACATCAAACTCCCAGTGTTCATGGAACGGAGCCGCTTGAGCACTGGTGGTCCCATCGAATTCACAGAAACTTGT